TTCTCCGAACTTCTTTAGTAGGACGGACTCAATCTCGTCGTCCCTTAGGTCGTTGCCCTTCACCGCACAAGTGTAAGCGGTGACGTGTTCGTTAGGGTCCGAGGTTCCGTTGTATTTCGGAAGGTCGGGCATTCTAAACTTCTTTGGGATGGGTTTTGGAGCAGCATCTTGTGGGAATGGCTTTTGTACGAACTTCTTCGAATCCACACCCTTCAGGATCGGGGGTGCGCCCGGGATTTGATCGACCCTAGAATTGTAGGTCTCCACCTTTTTGTCGTTGGCTTCTATCTTCTTCTCGCCCGACTCGATCCTCTTTGTGAGGTCCTCGAGCATCTTTATGATAGCAGGATCAGCTGCTGACCCGTTGTTGCTTGATCTTTCCAGTATTTGTTCGGCTCGAGGAGCTGCCTCCGGTGCTGCTGTGCTTGGAGTTTTTTGGTGGCTTTGTAGTTGAGCAATCGCGAGCTGTTGTGCCTGCAACATCTCAAAAATGACGTGAAGGCTAACCTCTCGCTCTTCCCAAGCTGGGGTTTTCTGAGCTTCTTGTTGGTTCTCCTGGCGTATACTCGTGTCGGTATGCGAGCTTATATCGACGTGCTGGGAGTTGCGCGAGACCACGTCCACGGGAATTGGTTCTGGTGCATCCTGAGGGTTTTGTGGTGGTACACCAATACCTGGAACGGCTACACCATTCTCCCCATGGTCCTCAGGACCGTTGTTCTCCTGTGCATTTACTGAGTTTGACATTTTGACCTGAAATCAAAGATGCTTTGGACAAGAAAAAGCGTGAAAGATAACTTGACTTATGTAGTGAACCAGCAAGAAAACGATCAGTATTATTTTTAGCCCCACGGTGGGCACCAAACTGTTTACCTTGAAAATGGTAATTACAACTAGATTTGATTTTGTGGTTCTAAAAATATGTGATATGTTTTTATGCTAATTGTTAGGCAATAGATGCTAAGTATGAGACTAGAAAATAAGATAAGAACTTGGAAATAATATGTTTAAGCAAACCGAGCGACTGAGAATCGGGGCCTCGAGCCTGGCTATACGGGGCCTCGAGGTTGAGCTCGATGCTGAGTTATGAATGGCCGATGAAGTACTAACAGTATTGAGAGCTTTGATGAAGGCTCTTTATGGTCAATAATGAACATTGAATGAAGAACAAATAAATAGAGCACAATGAATATAAGCAATAAATGTAAGTAATGAAACCAAGAGAATATGTTTAAGTTAGAGAGCAAAGAATGTTCTTGTATTGAATGTAGTGCGTTGTATTTTCTCTATTGTGTCTTACAAAATGACAAGGATCCCCTTTATATTTGAGGGAAAATCCGAACATGGCGTAGATGCATTTATTACAAAGAAAAATAGCGGGTACATCTATTTGCTAGTTTGGTACAGACTAGGGCTTCTCTTGCAGGTCTTGTCAGCTTTAGATCATGCGCCTTGGGAACTTCCCGCTTTCTCATGATAATCATCGATTTGCACTATCTCGGGGTCGAACGTTAGGAACCCTCGGGGGCCGAACCCCGAATCCAACCTCGAGCCATCTAGGATGGTCTTCACGAGGTGCCTTGGTGATCACAAAATCGGACCTTCTGATTTTTACCGTATACAAATTCCTATGTGGGTTTCCAAACAGGCTCTTAATATCCTTTTTTCAATTATTTTTCAATTACTAATTTATTGGGTCTATTCTCAAATTCTATCATTTATCTTTAATTTCTTGTCTTCCGCATTTTGATTTGTATCACTCTATATTCTATTTGTATTTAGCTGAGTTACCAAATATGGATTGTATTTTTTTTTTTTGGTTTTAAAATATGGATTTTATATGAATCATATACTTCATTTATCGAGAATATATAATGTCAATCGCTTTTAATCTATTTCTAGGTCATTCTTCTGCGATCTCAGCATAACTTTACTGTATATTCTTATTATACTTATATATTTATGTCCTTCCTAAACATTCTGATCTCTCCCCGCTAATGTCGGACCAAATTTAGTAATTCATTAAACGTGGACCAAAAATTAATCATTAAATAAGAAATCAAGAGGTAAAGTAACTTTATTCTTTTACTATAAAGAGTAGATGCTGCATTACAAAAAAAAAAAATTACATAGGAGATAAGAATAATACAGTTGCAGTGTGAAGTGACTGATTTTTATTGTTGCATACAGGCTGTATTTTTAGCTCAAACTAATTTGCATCACGTGGAAGAATTGCCTTCTATTTAATTAGATGCACATTCTTTGATCACCTTCTTATCTCATGCAACTACTTCCGAACTAAGATATCTCTCCCCCTCATATTATTTGCTAGAATTCATAATCTGCTTTTTGTAGTATTAACTATCTGTAGATTTATTGGGAAATGGAGTACGTAAAACATATTTATTTATTAACATGGTAGAGGTGATTGTCTGTTTAAGGATTAATTTGTCACTTCTATTTCAAAAGAGCAAAAGTAAAAAACAGAAAGTACACATATAGGCATTTTCATTTAATTGTTGAAAATAGGATATAACCTTAAAAGCTTATTATTTCCGGCTAATGTTAATTCGAAAGAGTCCTAAAAGTCAACTCGATGCATAAATACTATAGACAAGAGTAGGAAAATCGGAAGCAGAAACGACACAAGGAGAGCAAGAAATTATGCAATGAATCCCAAAATATAACAAGTGAAAATTGAGTGTTTACTCAGCAGTAGCGGTACAATATGGTACCTAGAAATATAAAATTAAATTCTCGCTAAATCGTACGATATTTTTTCATATCATTTGGCTTTCCTAACCCAAAAATAAAATTGAAAGGAAAACGTGAGAGTGAATGACGTAAAGAAAGTATAACGATTGCCCAAGAATTTTAGGAGCTAGAGAACAACTTTACACTTGGCCTTCTGACGAGCGCAAAACACAATACGAAATTAATGCTTGCTAGCCAAAGATAGTATAATATAATTATCGTCTCCATATGAATTGAATTTAGACAATGTTTAAATAATTTTTGGTTTAAGCGTTATTTAGGTTGACTAACACTTTGTTTGGAATGATTATGAACTAAAATTAATTATTAAAGCAATTGATCTCAAGAAGACAATAATTGAGCAACAACGAAATAATCAATAGGAGAAATAAGGGTCGTGACAGGATAGGTGTAAGATAGCTATTCGGGATCTAACTCTAGTTCAATTCACACTATTGTTCTAATGATTCTCATGGATTCACTCAATGATTAGTTCAAACATGTAGCCAAGACTCTCCTCTCGATTAAATATTAAGTCTACGAGGTGAACTAATATAAAGCACTGTGAAAATATGCAAGAATGCGTTAATGGATTAGTCTTTAGGAAAATGTCTCTCAAATATTCTCCTAGCTTGATTTAATCAACAATTCAACAATTATTTCGATTATTTAAAAGAATCTTAAGTAATCTTAAGTAATCTTAAGTTAAGTCTAGAAGTGAACTAATATAAAGCACCGTAAAAATATGCAAGAATACATTAGTGAATTAGTCTTTAGGAAAACGTTTCTCAAATATTCTCCTAACTTGATTTAATCAAATTCAACAATTTGATTACTTAAAAGAATCGCTGAATTAAACTGAATAAAATAATGCTAAGAATAATCACCAAAAATATTCTTAGTTTGATTAAATAGACTGGTAAATAAAGTTGCAATCAATTCAAAGTTCCATAAACGAATTCATGCAAAGAACCAGAATTAAAATCCGCAAATATCAATTAAAACACCATATATGTCAAACCCTAAGGTAAACTACTCCATAGATATAGAGAAAGTCATCACAAAAAGAGTTAAAGAATAAGAAAGCATTAATCCAACGTTACAATCCATACTCGTGTATTGAATTGGTAGAAGGAAGATGAATTCTTGTGTCTTCAAGCCTCCAATGCTCTCCAAAAGCTCACAAGCTCAAAAGTCCTCTAAAAATTATGTTTTTGGTATATTTATACCATGTAGGAATGGGCTCGGACGAAACAATCATTTCCAAGCCGAAGTGGAAAAATTGGACCGCGAAAATACACTAATGCGCCGCGCCCCGCGTCACGCTACTGGAAATTTCCAAAGAGCAGATTTTTATCAGACAGACCATTTTTGCACTGCCGAGCGTCGCGGCGCCCCAGGCGGCGCGGTAGTGCAATTTTCTCAGAATAATTTCTTTCGTGCACTTTTAATCTCCAGACTTGGTCCTCGACCTCCGAACACGATCGGGGTTCAATTCCTTGGGCTTTTACTCAGATTTCAAAGCTCCAAATTGTTCGATTTAGCTTCCGATTATCTTTTTAACTCAGAATCATTTCCTGCAAGGCATAAAATACGTAATAAGTATAATTCACTGTCATTTAAGCTCAAACCTACGTAAAGTGCAGTAATTAGAGTACAAAACGCGATTAAAACATGGATTTCTAGCCTACCATCACCTTGTCACCGCTAAAACTCAAAGGCAGATTTAACACCATTATATATATATATATATA